GTTGGCATGTCACGCTCACCGTGCATAAGGGCGCGCACAGCTCCTCCTGCCCAAAAGGCAGGGAAGAAAGGTCACCACAGTTTTGATGAAATGAAAAAGAAAACAGAGGTAGGGTGTTGATTGATTGATGGGGACCCGAATCAAGTGGAAAGGCATGTGGCTTGTGTTTTGCCAATTGTTGATTCCCTGCAGAACCCTCGTGATTGATTGATTTATTAGTCGTGGGGCCGTTGAGCTCATGGGGCCCTTGAGCTCAGGGATCACGAATAATTTCAGCGGCGACTTGTCACTTGGCCAGGTCATAAACATTATTATCAATGTCAATGCCAATCCTGTTGTTAATTATTAAGCCGTCATAAAATGCTCGAGCACAACGCTTTTACACAAGGACGATGCGTTCGTGAATTGGCTCAGGAGAAATGTTAAAATCCAATCTTTTATACTCTACCACCGAAACGCTAAAAGTCTCTCTTCCCATCACTCGAAGTAACGTAATTATTATTTTTTGAGAGGAAAGTAACGTAATTATTAGTACAACAACCTGTGGAAAATCCATCACTGTATATGTTTATTTATTCTGTTGCTCCCACGAGCAATTCATCAGTATACATGGACGCACACACGTTACACATGAATGAATATACTGCACGTCCGGAGTGTACACTACACAGTACATACACTGCAATGGCCGTACGTCTCGACACTGCTACATAATACTACATACAACTCCTAACGAGACAGCGAACGCACGCTCTGCACACTAGTCGTCCCGACGCCGACGCGACGGACCAGCAAACAACCCTGCCTGTAATCGCGGCGACTCCTCTAGTTGCTACGAGCCCCATGCACGGGCACCTCCTAATAATTAATCAAATCGGGAATACGTACGGGTACCACGGGTTCGTCGACCGATCGCGGTCATCACGCGGTGCCCTCGACGCGCGCCTTGGTGACGCCGGCGCAGGCGTCGACGAAGTCGCCGTCGATGAAGTCGGTGGAGAAGACCTGCAGCTTGTCGCCGAGGCCCTTGGCGAAGACCTCGGCGATGAAGAGGCGCGCGTAGCCGTGGATCCGCTTGGTGACGGGCCACACGCACAGCACCGGGTTGTCGGCCTTGGGCGTCACCGTGTTCTCCACCCGGTAGAAGAACCTCCGCTCCGCCACGGCCGGCTGCTGCGCCAGGAACTTGAGGTTGCTCTCGAACTTGGTCTCCGGCAGGTCCGTGTCGATCCAGTTGTCCCTGAGGTACCCGGCACTCCACAGCGGGTCCCCGGGCCTGGGGGCCGCCGACTTGCGGGGCTTCCACACGCAGATCACCCGCCGCGGGAGCAGCTCCGCGACCGTCTTGTGGAACACCGCTTCGTCCTGCGGGATCAGGTGCTCGCCGAGCTTCTCGACCAAGAACTTGTCGAACTCCGGCGGGTCCTCGTGCCCGAACTCGGTGCGGATCTCCAGGATGATCACCTCGGACTCGGTCTCGCCCAGGAACCTGGCCACGTCGTCCAGCACCACGTCGACGGGGTACGTCGCCAGGATGCCGTGGCAGACGCGGCGCTCCTCCTGGACGCGCACGTCGATGACGCGCGTGCCCGTGGCCAGCTGCTCGTACACGGACATGGACTGGCACTGCGCGAAGGGGCGGGTCACGAACGGCACGCCGATCTTGTTGGTGGCCGAGTCGTGCGTGCCGGGCCACACCACCTGGTGCACGCGCAGCCTGTCGGCGCCCAGCTCCGCCATCCACCGCTTCCGGTCCGCCGGCCGGTGCTCCGACCCGGGGAACGTGTCGCCGGAGGAGGAGAGACGCGTGGCCAGCGCCTGCTTCTCCGTGGTCACCAGCTTCCGCCGGTCCACCTGCTTCGAGAAGAAGGCCCCCATGGCTTCCAGCGGGTTGTTGTTGGTGCCGTTGCTCTTGCCAGCGCTGCTGCTGCTATTGGAGGCAGCCATGGATGGACGGATGGATAAATAAAGGATCCTGTGCTGTGTGTGCCTCGAGCTCTGACCTGGACCTGCACGTCGCTGTAAGCTGGAGATCGATTGATAGCTTAGCAGCCTAGCAGCAAGACAACACAAGGAAGAAAAATATCAATGCGTGGGGTGGGATTAGCCAACATGTGGTGATAGATGCTTTATTTGTAGGGGCTTGGGCGCTTGGCTGATCGATCCGGCGGAGGAGGAACGAGGAAGTGAGGCGTGTTCTTGTGACCTCCGCTGCTGTTTCTCCCAAAGACTTCTTCGGTTTCCTTGGATTGGATGGTACAATTGGCGTTAGGTGGTAGGTGCCGGTATGGTGCTCTGATGGCAGACCGGGCGGGCGATAGATTTTTTTTCTTCTTTGGCATTTTTGTATCCAAAAAATTGCTACTGGACAGAGGGTTTGGTTCGTTGCTTTACTCGTTCGGAGCATGGAAGGGGTAATTATTTTATGGCGAGACGGTGACGGAATCGGGGCCACACAAGGACAAGGATATGTTCATTATGGACGGACACGCCGTGCTATTGGTGAGTTCAAGGTTGTCGCAATAACTTGTCGGGCAAATGCTCCAAACTTTTGTTGCACAGATCGAAAAAGTCACCGATCGCAGGCTATGCGGAAACTGGAAACAAGACACGGGTCATCTTGGGTGATACGTACATGGCAACGTGATCGATCTATTGGCAGAAGTGTTTTGATATTCGCTGCATAATAAAGCAGCGGCACCGTGGCACTAATTGGAGAGCGTCATCGCGATGTGCATATACCCCAAATGCAAGGGGCATCTGTCAATCGTATTTTAGCACATGAATACATGATGATGCGTTCGCATAGACACCACTGATTGCCAGATAATTAAGAGTGGGAGGAATCACGCTGCCTGTACGCGACGCGGCGATGGGAACTGTTGAATAAGAGACACCAACATTACGATGTGACACTAATAACCACGACAGGGCTACGATCCCGTTGTCCAACATGAGTGTGCGTGTTTGGTTCAGAGGAGAGGAACGAGGTGTGAAGCCAGAATGTAGGCCTTTACTCTTCTCTTGCTTTGATATTAATATTTGGCGTTTCATCATGTTTATCCCATGAACATTCTTTTAGCACGCACCACATAATAATAATGCAGAAAAAAAGGGGAACAAAGAAAGGAAGGATCAAATACAGGAAAGGACCAAAAGTCAACCAGAGGTTCCTGCTGCCAATCATTTGACTTGCACGCGTTCAAACTTCAAAGCACAACCTGTACTCCGCGTTCAACTGCTCCCAACGACATGTCGACATGCACACATAGCTTCGTCAATAATACAATGGCGGGAGCCAGTAGCTAGGTTACTCGGGGTTACACTATTTCGAGTAATCAAGCTTATCATGCCTTCCACGTGGGCTCAGAAACCTAAATAACACGGGACCAGCTAATAGTTTCAGAATGGCGATAAGAAAAATGTTTGAACGTTTTTAGTCAGGTGATGCCACTCTAAGTATCTTTCGCTTCAAGCCTTATCAAGGTTTTTAATTTCGGTATCGCCAAAATTTCGGCCACCACCGAAATTACCGAATTTCGTGAAATTCGGCCGAAATTTCGCCGAAATTTTTTTAGAGATTAGCACATGAAGTATGTTTTTTCTAAAAAATTTTGGATCTAAACAAATATTAGTATGATTTATGACTACATATCTATTAAATAGAAGAATATGCAATATAAACAATAGAAAAATATAAGATTAGAGTTATATAGCACATGTATTAGTGTATTAAAAAATTTCGGAGTTTTCTTTCGGCCACCACCGAAATTACCGAATTTCGTGAAATTCGGCCGAAATTTCGCCGAAATTTTGAACCCTGAGCCTTATAAACCAATTCTCCAGTGGCTTTTACCCTGTTCGCTTGAACTTATCAGCCATGGTATAGTGTTTTTCTCTCGCAACAAAATAGTTTCAGCCGGCTTATTAGCCACAGAAACCATCAGCCGAACATCGGTTAATTCTTGCCTATATATGCCCTATACCGTTGTTTTGAAAAAGTGAAGAAACAAAAACCTACCATGGCATGCCACCTGGTTGAAAGGAATAATAAACTATAAACGACTCTTTTAAATAAAGAGTATAAATGTTGGAAATTAGGAGTATCAGTCGCTCTCCTGCGCAACTGGCACTTCATTTCTGGAGAGAGATGGGCAATAATACCATAATGCCCACATTGGTTTCAAACTTTCAATGTAAAACATTACTACAGGATTGTAAGATTTCTCCACTAATGGCCACTTGTCTATTAAGAATTTGCATAAACTAAACCAGGAGGAAAATAAATAAATCTTGAGGAGATCTCTGAGATATCATTTGGTTGTTAGCCAACCAACGGAAGGCTACATGTTAGTGTTACAACCAACTAATTACAGGATTAGAATATGTACCTACCTTAGGAAAAATTAGTGCTTACTAAGGCCGCGCTTGGGACAGCTATTCGCGGCTCCAGCTGATGCGCTACTGTAGCTACAATGTTCATGAAGCTGTTTTTCTCCCTCCTTCTCAAAACAATGGAGAGCTGGTGAAGACAGGTTTTGTGGCCCCTCCGGTTAGAGGGCGGACCGGCGGAGCCAGCCCACCCAAACAGGTCCTAAATGATCAGCTTACTTCTCCTCAAGTACATCACTGCGTCATCAGTATGTTGGGACAAAGTGATGTACCAGACTCATAGGAAGCAAAATGTCCTGGACTCCTAGTTGAAATTGACAGTTGGCACAACACAAAAGCATACACTGAGTGCTGAAGGAGTCCTTTCACCTGGAAGGGAAAAAACAGTCATTGACGTTTCTCTTTAGAGCTCTTCTCTTTGGATTTTCCAGGTGCCCACTGAAAGTGGCCACAATTTGCTTCTGGATTTGATGCAGGCCCCTGACAAAATATAGTAAGTGATGATCACTGTGAGATATAGTGCTGTGTATTCTCTAAAAGGGCCATTTACATTGTTCACAACCTATTTGACTGTTCGGACGACATGATGATGTTATGTCTACTAACTACTAAGCAGGAAATTGTGAGTACATGTGTACTTGAGCACGAGCACAAACATAGAACAAACGGCCTATATTAGGGCCCTTCTTCACAGATCTCGGAATGCATGGTTCACTATGCCCTTTGCAACCTGGTAGCGTCATCTTCATCTTTTGTTGTATTCTCTGCCACTCTAATGCTGCAGCATTAGACTTGTCTGTTGAAAGTGAACAGGATGATACATTTGTATTATCCTGATCTTTTGCAGCTGACGTTGTGCACTGCATGTTTTCAGGCAGACTATCATCATTTGAAACACATGTTTGATTTGTAAGGTCTAATGTTTCTGCTGGAGTAACTAAGGTACTGGTACTGGCATTTCCTGTCTTTGACCCTGGTCGCTCAAAAAACGACTTGATTGTTGGTTGAGACGATAAGTTGCGTTTAATCTTCTTTTTTGGCACAAACTTGGCGCTAGACAGTGAAGTTTTCTGGCTGCTATGAGAGACGCCAATCAAACCTTCATTTGTCCATTGATCAAGATTTGTCCCCTTGCACATCAAACTAGGAAGGTTATGACCTTTTGCAAACTCAGTTATACCAGTTGTCAGTCCTTCCTTAGCTATAATTGTATTCTCCAAGCCATCACTACAGTAGCTACCGACTACTGTATCTTCGGACTGAATCATATTTTGCAGCATTTTGCAGCTCATAAATTTTCCCTTTACCAAGGAATGATACTGCAAATTGTGACAACACTGGCAGTCAGTATTACACAATATACTGTAACTAGTACCACTTCACACAAAGTGCTCCACTGAGCCCAAGTATAACTTAGGGGCTAGCTGCCATATAAGACCAGATACCTTACCAACTTACGAGCTAATGAGCTCTGATGAAACTGAATATTAAAAGAACAGCACTACAACACCAAAGTGTAATGCACAGTAAACATGCTATATTAAGCATGACCAAAGATAGGGTTTATTTTCTAACTCAGCCAAGCAAAGTGCCACTGCCACATAACTTATGAGTTTAGAAATCAACAGTGAACATCAGGAAAATGTGAAAGATAATTTGCACAGATCATTCTGTTGGCATAGTTGAGGTATGTGTCTAATAAACACATAAGAAAGCCAAGTCTTGAAGCAAGTTATGATTTCCTCCAAACCAAAAATGATGAAGTGCACTTTCCTTAACCGAAACTTCTATGAAAATAAGTATGGATTTTGGGCAAACACATTAACACACCATGAAAAGAATATTAACAAATAAGAAAATGAAGTCCTTACATAAGATAGAAAAGTTCCATGAACAACTCAGCTACTTGCAACAACAACAACAACAACAACAAAGCCTTTAAGTCCCAAACAAGTTGGGGTAGGCTAGAGTTGAAACCTAGCAGAAGCAATCAAGGTTCAGGCACGTGAATAGCTGTTTTCCAAGCACTCCTATCTAAGGCTAAGTCTTTGGGTATATTCCATCCTTTTAAGTCTCCTTTTATTGCCTCTACCCAAGTCAACTTCGGTCTTCCTCTGCCTCTCTTCACATTACTATCCTGGCTTAGGATTCCACTACACACCGGTGCCTCTGGAGGTCTCCGTTGGACATGTCCAAACCATCTCAACCGGTGTTGGACAAGCTTTTCTTCAATTGGTGCTGCCCCTAATCTATCACGTATATCATCGTTCTGAACTCGATCCCTTCTTGTATGACCGCAAATCCAACGCAACATAAAACCCTAAACAACTCAGCTACTTGCTTTAGCAAAAATAAATTCTACACAGAAACTGGTTTTAGCACAAACACCAAAACTGCAAAAGCAAGCTACAACTAAAAAAAAACATACAGAACACTAAAATTCACTCACCAATACTTTGTTGCCGTCCACAGACCTCTGGAAGATATCTTGCAGCTGAACTGGAAGTTCAGGTATTTCTTTCAGTAAAATATAAACTGGAATATGATCAGATCCTTCTAGCTTACTACTTCTTCCCCCTTTCCACCTGTAGAGAATGGAAAGATTAAATCATTCTAATGTAACACAGCAAATCATGTACAATATCCACTTCATTTCAGAGAAAACTGATATCCAGTATTCTTTACTTTGATAATTTTTCAGAATTCCCTCTTTTGAAATGATTCATTATCTCACATTCTTCTACATGACAACAAAAAATGCTATGGTCCTCCACAGAATCACAGATGGAGACAGGAACCGGAAATGAGAATGTGGTCTATCCTAGAGCCATAATTATACTCTTCAGCACCAATTTTCTGATTAAAACAAGTATACGCTCCTATCCTGCACAAAAGAAACACAGCAAAGTATGCTTTAGAAAGTAACTTGGGATGAGTCTACTTATAAGCCCAGTATGTTTGGCCTTTTCAGAAACACTTCTGCACGGATATTAAAGCAGTTAAATCAATTAGAATTTTTTGAAAAGCAATTTTAAAAAGATGGCTATTTACTTCAAATCAAGCAGTTTTCAAAAGTGGTTCCTCAAAAAACAATCTTTTTATAGCTTTTGTAAGAAGCAAGTTTCTCCAGCTTATGACAAAGCCCAGACAAAACTGGACCTAAGTCAACCATGGATAATGAAAATAGAGTAGACTCAACTCATTGTTACAACTTACAAAGAGGGTTCTATTTGACCAGTGTGGTTGCTTTCAGGTAAATATGAGCAACTTGTAAAAACAAAATCATGTGCACAAGCGGTTGGGTAGCTCTGGGGGCATTCCAGTACCTTTCAGGGTGTTTTGATTTAAAAGCATCAAAAAAGGGACCTCCGTGTTCTCTCAGCATGGATCTCAGCCATTCTCGGAACCTTTCATTAGGAAAATGAGAATAAAAATGCATTGTTGTTTCCGGATGCTTTATAATTGGAACCATAGCAAAAAAATGCTAAAAGAAGGCTTACATTTGCTTCTCAAAGCCAGGTGGCGCGTCACACCTGTCTATAGAAGCAGGAGCAATATTCAAATCACCAACAACAAAGACTCTCTTTCCAAGAGCCAATAGATGTTCCCATCTTTTCTAAGAGGTAATGAAAGAAAGAAGCAAGTATAAGAAGCATAAATATATAGGCAATAAGCATTGAAAAGATAGAAGTATTGTTGAAATATTCTTCATGAGAGATACTTATTAGAAGAGACACACACAAAGTACCTGCAGTATCTTGTAAAACAGTAGCTTAAAACAAACCCGCTCTTTGTCATCTTCTTCAACAGCTGGGCCATATATGTTGAAAAGAACTAAACAAGTGGTGAACCATTATCATTATTACATACAAAACAAAAATCAAATACGCAATAAAAAAACTTGAAAATGCAAGAAGTTATGTTCCTATCAAGGGAACAATTTACTTACCAAAATGCCCATGATCAGTGATGATGCACCGCCCCTCATTGTCCACCCTTAGGAGGTCCTCTCTTGTGATTTCACCAAGACCTTCCTCCTCGACAGGCATTGCAATAATGAAATCCCCAACAGTTTCACTATTTTTTGCATAGTCCTGAAGTCCAGTAAAGCCTTCTTCAGCTGCTACTGGCAAAGCAACCTCCTGACTGGAAAATGATGATGTTACTCGGCAAAACGTTGCAACACCTACAAAGGATTCGAGTACAGTAATTGACTGAGGACGTGGTCCAATCAAAGTAATGCTGAACCCAGAGAACATCTCCAACCAGGCAAGCAACTATGCATCAGTATATCAGCCAAATCAACATATTGTGATTACCATTTGTGACACCATAACAACATACCCGAGTATGCTCCACGACCTTTTGAAGAGCGATTGCATGAAACAAAGGCCTCATATCCTTCAGCCATAATGACATCTGCAGATAGGTCCTGCCTTGACACTTTGGTCTCCTACAATACAGCAGGCATTGATACAGTTAGCTCGAATTTTTCTTCTTAATATAATGATATGCAGCTCTCGTGTGTTTTGAGGGGGAAAAAAAGTTAGCTCGAATAAATCAGTACACACAAGCCTAACCCCAGCTCGCGCAGTTTTACTCTTTGCATTAGACAGAATAAGCGATAAATTGCATCCCACCACAGAAACAATTCTTTGATCTACACTAAACTAGATACATTCTCTCTCTTTTTCTTTTTGAATGTAAACTAGCAGGACCTGCAGATACATTGTCTTTTTTTCCTTATATGGGGAAAACATTGTCTTTTTCCTTGAAATGAAGTGTCCATCGCAGTAAGCTTCAAACTTCGCCCGTTTGCATTCCGTCCAATATCCAGTGAAATTTCCGCGTTTTAGAAGTGGGGGTCCGAGTGCGACAGTGAGTGATAAGCACAGGCAGGCAAGCACTACTGAGCTAGGGTTTCGGGTTTCGACACATGGGGGTTCAGTTTAGTGAGTGGGAAATCAACAATTGGTCGGACCTGGAAGCAGATGATGTCGGCGTCGAGGGCGTTGAGGAGGCGGCGGAGCGAGCCGTGCTGCGCCACCCGCGGCCGCAGCCCGTTCACGTTGTACGTCACTATCTTCACCATCTCCAGCCGGTACCACAAGGCGTCACCCACGGTAGGCGAGGGTTCGAAGGGGAAACGCGTCGCTCTTCTCGCAAGCGGGGCGGGGACGAAGAGACCGACGGCCGGGCTGCCCGCGGCGGCGGTGGCAGCGGGAAGCCGGGAACTGTGCAGGCTGATCCTAGAGTGGTGTCCGGTCCCGACCCGAACTGGCGGTGGCTCTAGGCAGCCGTCCGATGGTAGTGGTGGGGCTGAGATCTCGGGGGTAAAACTAAACACCCCAAAACTAGAAATTTGCATCGCAAAGTACAGACAGACACATACACCAGCCGTCAGCTGATGAGTTATCACATTTCCGACTTGAGTTGGGACGACAGTGCGTATCACACTTCTGTACCTCATCCTCATGTCGTCCATGGCCTCGCGAGATTTGCTCGTTACCAGAAACTAGATGCCTTGTGACTACAGGACTCCCTCCGTACTTTTTTATATAATTCTAATTGTTTAACTGTTCGGAACGTGAGAATTGTATTCTTTTACGGACGGATGGAGCAGTCACTGTGTGCTCGCTCGCACAGTTTCCTGAAAACATCTGTCTACCTCTACCACTGCGCGCCTGTGCCTGTCCAACTGAAAACTGTCTCTCGCTCTCTCCTCTCCCCAGTCTTCCCCAAATACTCTCCTCCAATCGACAAATAGGAGTACAGACTACTATTGATCGTTTGATCGAGTCGGGATGCTCTCCCCTTGCTCGAGTGTCGAGTCGATCAGACGACCTGTCATTACTATAGCCCTCTCCTCCTATATGTCTTTGCCCTTTGCAAGTTGCATGGTTTGCAGCTGCAGCCTCACAGACGGCTCGTCAATTGCTTGAACCGGCGACCACCAGCAGCAGCAGCAGCGAGCTGCTGCTATATGCAACTGATGCAAGCGAAAACGACGTGTACAATTGATGCAATAGCGGCGCACAATAGCTAGCGCCCTGGCGTCTCCACCTCGCTGGTCGCACTCGCACTTTTCCCCGACTCCCCGTCGCCCGTCAATGTCAGGGACTCGCTTGGCTGTGGCAGAACCAATCAACTACTCCTACTCAACTGCTCGGTCATTCCGTCTGTTCGTTTATTGGTTTCAGTAAAATTTATCAAAGACTAGCAAAGACTTATCAGCCTACAAACCGATCAACGAACAGCTTCATTGGCAACTTGCCACGCGCGACCTTGAACGGGACAACCTCTCTCTCTCTCCTCCTCGTCCCGTCGTCCTCGCATGGCATCACGGACAAGAAAGAATCCACAGCCCACTCCTTGCTCGCATTGACCGGGCCGGCATGGCATGCGTTCCACTCCCATCCATTCCTCGTTGTTGGAAAAGAAAAAAGAAAGAAAGAAGAAAAACAAAGAGGAAACGCGCGTGACAGCGCACAAAGCCGAGGTTATATATTTAAACAGATGGTAAGCGATTGCTGCTGATCTGCTCGCCGTTGTCCTTGCAGCGATCGTTCGGCCGCACGAAGAAACAAGAGGTACAGCTACTGCTAGCATTTAACAACTGTTTCGGCACATGGTGTGATAAGCAGCGGCAGCAGTTGAACTGTACGCCACTAGCCGTGTGGGATCTGAAACGTGGCAGCAATATAATTTGCTAGCCTAACTATTTCTTTAGATAAATGGAAAACATCATCAGGATTTATCTCCTTAAGAGAGGAATCAAATCACACTTATATTATAAGATCCATAGAAAGAATTAATCTCACTTGACTTATAAAATATTTAAATTTAAACTCAATCCTAAAAGTAAAGGGTCATCAATGGAAGGCGAAGAAAAACACAATCTGGCTTATGCCTGAATGATGTATTATTTTCTATCATCGCATCATTGTAATTGGACCAAGAACTGTAGGCAATATGTTTCCTTGTAAACAGTATACAATAAGCATACGCTTTTGGTTGAGGCTTATAGAAAACATTGTCATTTTCATATTAGCCATATGGACCAACAAAAAAAAAGTAGAAGCGCCTAGCAGTGGTAGTAGATTATATTGATTTTCTCCCTATTTTATGCCATCCACTCAATAGATTTTTCACACTCAATAGTGTAGGGAGATGGGAATGGATTGACCCAGTCTTGGATTTTACCATGAACTCATGGCCAATTTAGAGGGTCATGGGTATCCATTTCACCTAACGGTTATGGCCTCCCTAACCCAATGGGTAGTATGAGTCGGCCTAATTTTTTTGTGCTATGATGGATATGAGTACTATTGACACTTATAGAAAAGATGAGATACAAGGTTAAAAAGTATCATGATAACATATTAAGGTTATTAGGAATGCATCAGATTAAATAAGTTTGCAAGTGAATCATGATTTTAATTTTATCTATTTTCACTCTCAAAAATATGGTATTTCCCGATCTACTTCCTAGCATATACATGCTTACAAGTTATGACCAATCGTGCTTATTAGGAAAAATGAAGAAGACCGACAAATTTAAAAAAAAGTTGCTATGTAATAATTGGATTACCCTTTGGGTCAATGTGTTCCGACCCTATCGATTCTTTTTTTTTACTTTGAAGCTAGCCCTTTGGGCCATTAGCCTTGCTTTTATGGACTGGGTCAACTATCCAATGGATCAACTCGACCCATTGCCATCCTGACAATGGAGGCACACCAATGGAAAGAATATGTAAAGCACACCACAAAAATCTAGCAAAAATACATTTTTAAAAAAGAGAGGTGTTGAATAGTTTCTAATTTACCCTAGAAGTAGCATAATTGACTGCCATTGCAATTCCTTCTGGCTAGATTATCTTTTAGTAAGGTCATGTTTGGCAACAAAGAGCCAATGAGGAGCTTCACGAAGAAGATGATACGAGCCAAAGAAGCCACGAAATGGAGGCTTCACTTCTACAATTTTGGCTTATCTCCCAGGAGTTTAACTCAAGGAGTCATTTCTCACTCCGACATGATAGACCTTCTCCCCAAACCATAGAGGAGCCAGAACTGCTCAAAGAGCCTTGCCAAATAGAAACCTAAGTATAACTTTTTTTAGGAACCATAAAAGCCTTAATTTTCGTTAAATTTCACATGTGACTTTAACATTATTACTAACTAGATTTCCTCGCCAACCGCGAAGATTTTTTGTTCAAAGGCCAAGTTACTAAGTCTTTTCTAACTTGTAGGTTAACATTTACAATGAGTGTAATCGGATTTTGCTATTTCTATAATTTATTGCCCCCTAAAGCTTTTTTGCTAGTCTCAACTAAAACTTGTAGTTTTATATTATATAAGACACTATATCAAGAAACTACCCTGCTCAGTGCAACATTTCTACAAGTTGACCCACATAAAAATCCAGCCAATCATTCATCCCCCTCTCTTTCACCCGTGTGCTTCTCTCTCTCTTCACTCAATTTGTCTCTCACCTGTGAAGACGTAGGTGTGGCTCGGGCCGGAGAGGACAAGTGATTACTTAATGTGGGGACGGTGCAGCAGGGTTCAAAAATTTCAAGCGAAATTCAGCCGAATTTTACGAAATTCGGTAATTTGTGGTGGCGAAAGAAAACTCGAAATTTTTTAATGCACTAATACATGTGCTATATAACTCTAATCTTATATTTTTCTATTGTTTATATTGCATATTCTTCTATTTAATAGATATATAGTCATAAATTATACTAATATTTATTTAGATCCAAATTTTTTAGAAAAAAATACTTCATGTGCTAATCTCTAAAAAAAATTTCATAGAAATTTTGAATTTAATTTCGTGAAATTCGAATAACTTCGGTGGTGGCCCAAATTTTGGCGATACTGAAATTAAAAAACCTTGGGTGCAACACGATGCGCCCGGGAGGCCACGAGCGGGCAGGGGCGACATGATGTGTCTGAACGTGACGAGAGGCTTAAAGAGGGCAGTTGGGGCGGGAAGTGGCGTCATGGACCTCTGCATCGCTCTGAGAGGGGCGACTGGGCAGGGGCAATGCGCCATGGCATGATAGCACGCATGGCGCGGTGCGGCATCGCTGGGCTCGGGATCTCGCGCATCTCCTCTACTGCGAGTGCTGGGTGCGGTGAGGTCGCGTGTCTAGGGTGTGCCTGCACTGATCGCACGCGAATGCCCTTTTGGTCGACGGGTGCCGCACCCTCTTGGCCTTGTGACTGTTTAGTTTCTACAATGATTGTTTAGTTTCTACAATTACAACAGGCGTGCTGCTGAGCAAGCAGTTCCGATCAGTTTGCGTACTGAGTTCATTCTGTTTGGCGGCAACCGCCGTTGGGTGACGTTTTCAGTTTTCAGTTTTCTCCGCCTCCTGTCCCCATCGCCCTTCTCTGCGCGGTGAGCTCGTTCAGTTTGGTGCTCTGGGGTCTGGGCACACCGCTAACGCGACACTTGCATGTTGCATCGTTTTCCTTCTCGCGCTCCCACCTCCTCTGAACGACAACGATGTCTGTCCTGACTCCTGAGCTTATGCGGCCGCTGAACGTGCCAAACCGCAAAAGTGGCATCATGTGGAGTTGTGGTGTCCATCCGTGCAAGCATGTTTTTTTTCCCGTCTCAGCCGAGGAGCAGATTGTGGTGCCAATTGTGTTTATTTGGACTTTGGGATAAAAAACAACGGCACAGTGGCGATGTTAGCACATAAAGCTACAGTTTCGTTTATGCCCTGCTCTGTTTCCACTTGGCTATAGCTAGCTGCACCTTAGTTACTTTCCATTTCGTCCAGATATTATGAAACCAAGACAACTTTTTATACCAAATGTTAGCTCCGGTCAATAATAATTATAGATCTAGCTTCTTGCAGTATCTTAGTCTCTTAGATGCGTATCATTGAACAGTAATTTCTTATAATATATATTTTTTAATTTTTTTTAAGCCGATTCTAAGACATTTTGGAAATATTTTGTATCCATATTTATGCACATATAATTTTCAGGTTTAACCACAAATTATCCTAAATGACATGTTTTCTGATAGGAAGATACAACTTTTTTCACATAAGACAATAATATATTTTTATAGATATTATTACCTTGGACAACCTGTAGCTAGTGTATTTGTGATTGGAGAAAATAAATGATCCTTTTTTTTTGGGGGTGCAGAAAATAAATGATTATATTATGTTTTTTTGGAAGTTTTTTGTGACAAAGGACATGGATTCCTCCAATTGATTCATTTAAGGCATATAAATGGGAGTGTTTCACCTGGATGGCTAATATTAAATGCCACATATAATACTGACAATTCATTAGTTGTAACCACTCAACTCACCTAATATTTCGAAATCAAAGCAGCATGAAGAAAAGTAGGTGTATTTGGTTCTGTCTACAATATACAAAGTTTGCAATCTACATTGAATACGTGAAGTCTGATCGAAACTTGGTGTCGGAAATGATTGATATGATTTTTTCGAATACGCAAAATGCTTGCGTATCTTTGTATTGAGAAGAGATTGTTTTTACATTGAAGTGCTAGGGTGGCTTTAATTTCTAAAGATCATTGCCTACCCTAGCAGCCGGATCGATACAAAGGAGATTACTCGCGTATTAAACTACTCAGCTTGGGTTCCCGGCTTCAATCCACGGGTCCGCCTCAATCTTGATCCTCTGAAGGAGCTGATGGACAGCAGTGTTTGCGCCGCGGAAGCAAATGATTGATATGAAAAAAAAACAGATTTAGTGAATGCAGCCGGATCTGAAAGCATTGAAATATGAGTGATGGATCAAAATCTAGGCAGGCAAGGTAGCAAATGCTCAGCGTTTCCATCACCGAAAGCACATCCGAATCCAGACGCACCTAAACTCTGCAAGCAGCATATATGCATTCGAACCACAATTGCAATTGCAACCCGGTCTGCCCAATCTGCCTGCTGCAAACATGCAATTGTATCGCCATTATCCACGGGCCACGGGGCAGGACAGGACGGCTCCATCCACGTGGTGCGGCACAAACAATCAGCCCGGCACGTCGCCCGCTAGCTAGCCAGAGTGCCAGACCCCGCCACAGCCTCCAACTACAGCCAGGCAGGCAAAGGCAGCCAAGCCAACGACCCCGATGCCGGCCGAGCCGATGGATTCCGATTCCATCCCTCGGCGCTGCTGTGCATTTGACCCCGCAGCGGCACCGCCCAGCCAGAACCCGCAAAACCGACGCGAATGTGGCGCAGGCAGGACACCGCAGAGACACGCATCGTGCCGAGCCGAGACGAGAACGAGACGCGACGGCCGTTGCTGCCGTCCCGTGGTCTCCGCGGCCTGCAGCCAGCTCAGAGCTCACGCACGCGCGCGCGCGCGAACCCGGCCCTCGCCCAAAAAACCAAAAACCATGCCAAACTAACTCCCTGCCACCACCACCCCTCGTTCACCTCCTCTTCCTCCTCCTCCACCTCTCCCCAATTCCCACCCTGCGGAGGAGGCAGGGAGGAAGGCCGGACCGAACAGCCCGCCCACCGCCGGCTGCGGGATTGGGGACAGGGCCTGGGGCCGGCCGCCATTCGGTTGCTTGACCGCGCCGCCGACAGCGTCGTCGGCCGGGATGGACGACCTCAAGCAGATCCTGGCGCGGCTGATCCAGCTCGCCGAGCAGGTAATAAAGTGGTCCGATGAGGCCTACACGTTCCGGCAGGAGTGCATGGAGCTCAAGGCCAAGGTCGAGCGCCTCGCCGGGCTGCTCCGCCAGGCCGCGCGCGCCGACCTCTACGAGCGCCCCGCGCGCCGCATCTTCGACGACACCGAGAAGGCGCTCGACAAGGCGCTGGCCCTCGTCGACAAGTGCCGCGCCCACGGCCTCGTCCGCCGCGTCTTCACCATCATCCCCGCGGGCTCCTTCAAGAAGATGACCAACCAGCTCGACAACTCCGTCGGCGACCTCTCCTGGCTCCTCCGCGTCTCCTCGTCGGCCAAAGACGACGACGACTTCGACGCCCACATCGGGCTCCCGCCCATTGCGCAGAACGAGCCCATCCTCTTCCTCATCTGGGAGCAGATCGCCGTGCTCTACACCGGCAACCTCGAGGCCCGCGCGGACGCCGCCGCCAGCCTCGTCTCGCTGGCGCGCGACAATGACAGGTACTCGAAGCTCATCATAGAGGAGGACGGTGTGCCGCCGCTGCTCAAGCTCGTCAAGGAGGGGCATCTCGAGGGCCAGGAGAACTGCGCGCTCGCCATCGGCCTCCTGGGCCGCGATCCGGAGTGCGTCGAGCAGATGGTCCAGGCTGGGTGTGCCTGGCCTTCGCCAAGGTGCTCAAGGAGGGCCCCATGAAGGTGCAGGCCATGGTGGCCTGGGCCGTCTCGGAGCTCGCTGCCAACCACCCCAAGTCCCAGGACGCCTTCGCGCTGCACAACGTGATCCGGCTGCTCGTCGGCCACCTCGCTTTCGAGACGGTGCAGGAACACTCCAAGTACGCCATCACATCCAAGATGTCAATACATTCCGTGCTAATGGACAAAAAGAACAGCACCGGCTCTGCAGTTCAGCCGGACTTATTGGATGCAGGGGAGCATGGCGGCATGAGGTATCCGGCTGGACACGCTTCCCAGAGCAAGAATGAGATCCACAGTTTGGTGCAGTCCACCATGGCTGCCAAGTCTAATGGAGGCAGTGGTAAGCACAACATATCCGGCAGTGGTAAGCACAACATACCTAGTAATGGTGGTGGTGTCGTGGCAACGAAGCAGCACAATGCGTCATTGTCAGGAACGAGTACAAGGGCAGGGAGTTCGAGGACCCTGAGACAAAGGCATACATGAAGGCCAATGCAGCTAAGGCGTTGTGGCAGCTTGCCAAGGAAATGCAGCCATCTGTAAGAACATCACAGAGTCAAGGGCTCTGCTCTGCTTTGCTGTTCTTCTTGAGAAAGGTGAAGGTGACGTGCAATATAATTCCGCAATGGCTCTCATGGAGATCTGCTGTGTGGCCGAGCAGAATTCCGACTTACGACGATCAGCATTCAAGCCAACTTCTCCTGCTGCCCGGGCTGTTGTTGACCAGCTCCTACGTGTTGTTGAGAAGGCTGAGTATGATGATCTCCTAATTCCCTGCATTATCTCACTAGGGTTGCTTGTCCAGAACCTTCCGTGCTACAGAGACTCGGATTATTGGACCATTGGTGAAGCTTCTTGATGAGAGGGAAGCAGATGTCTCTCGAGAGGCAGCAATTGCCCTGACCAAGTTTGCGTGCACGGATAATTACCTGCACGTTGACCATTCTAAAGCGATCATCAGTGCAGGCGGAGCAAGCACCTAGTTCAGCTTGTGTATTTCAGTGAGCAGGTGGTTCAGATTGCTTCACTCACCCTTGTATGCTACATTGCACACAATGTCCCAGACAGCGAGGAGTTGGCACAAGCAGAAATCCTCACGGTGCTCGAATGGGCTTCCAAACAAGCTTACATGATGCAAGACCCAGTAATAGACAACTTGTTGCCTGAAGCAAAGATCAGATTGGAACTGTATCAATCCAGAGGTGCAAAGGGCTATCATTAGATTACCTGTTGTGGAAAGGCATGAATGAGGAATTTTAAGGCGTTCTTCTTTGGATTGGCCAAGTACTGTATATACATCCAACGGCTTCTATCTATACTCTGGCTAAACCTTTTGATTCCCGGCATGGCAAAAGTTGTTTAAGTTACACCTCTGGTTGGGTTCTCGATACAGGAAGTAAGTTTTGTTTGTAGGCTTGGATATTCAGAACTCCAATTCCTCTTGTTGGTGGTATAGTTTTTGGGAGATTAGCATTGTACTCTCTTTCGCCTAATGATGTATCGTGTATATTGCATTTCACTCATCAATCTGAAAAAATTCTTAAATCCAAGACCATAATATTATTTTCGTGCACTGGCCCCCATGGGTTTCTTTTGACTCTTTCTTGTAGGTATCGTTTGAATTCAGAAATTTGCTAATTTTGTTTTATGTCCACTTGTTGACTATGCACAACCCCCCCACATTCCTTTATGTTTCATGCTCAGTTGGAGGTCGTGATCTTCACATTGTTGACTCATTCATCAGAGAAGTTTTCTTATAACTGAGTGTAAATTTTTCCTTGCATCTGACCTCATGCTCGCTTGACTGTTTCTTGTAAGTAGCATCTGAAAAAGAAGGTTGCAGTTATGTTCTACCGTTCAGTTCTTGACAATGTGCCTCATTCCTTTATGCTTAAGGTGTAATATGAGGTTCTAATCCTGTCCGTTCACTAGTCAACAGTATACTTTACCACATGTTCAGTTTTCCAACTGCCAGTCTCATGTTCTAATGTACTTGTGTCTTTGGATTGTCTGGGGTGGTGAAACTGAACAGTTGAAAATGCCATTTGTAAAAAATGTCGAGAAGTCTAGCATTGTCTGGTTCTTGTCATGCAGGTCACTCCATATCCAGTACAAGAACAGTAATTTTGCTTCAAAACCTTCATGTAAGATTGACCTGTGATGTATGCCTAGTATTTTGCTACCTTTAAGGTGCCCCATTGTTTCTCCAGACCCCCCAAAAAAGTGGTCAGTTTCTTGTTATGTGATGTGACCTTTTGATCAATTATCACTGACAAAAAGGTCTCAGCAAGGACCAGCTGATCTTCTGTAATTTTCTGTTTCCCTATGATTGGTCCATCGTTCCAAGATAGTATGAACTTTTTCGGTGCATGAAACATGTTCAGGTATTTCTCCTTCCGTATCTTTTTGTGCACTCATCTGCTTTGGATCTCAATCTGATTCCATAATCCAGCCTTTATCTTTTCCTCCCTATGCAGGTCAGGGTCCTCTGTTGTCCACAGTAGCAGATGGTCCTGCGGCAGGAACTGGACGTGAATCAGTGCATGTAGCGTGACCACCATGTGGAGCTCTTCCGTTCTTTACAGTACCAATATCTGGCCTGTTTCCTGATTTGGTTGTTTCCTGTTTTCCTTTGGACCCGTCACTGCCAATTCACTATTCGGATCGGTGGGGTGGTGGTTGTGTTCTTGAATGGTTTTCCTTTCATTTGCTTCGAGGCTTGCTGTTTGACCGATATATCTTGTGTGCAGAGGAGGCCAATTGTCAAAACTGCGCCTCCTCTGAATATTGTATCTAGGGAACTGTCGTATGCAAAGCGCCAAAAGATGTAAAGTGGACAATACTTGGGCCGGTGTGAAGAAGCTGCAATGCGGGCTTCCTTTTACGTGGACCGCTCAATGGGCCTGGGCGTGTTCGAGTCGGAGTTTTGTTTGAAATGCTATCGTGCCAACCATCTCTCGAGGGAGGAGGAAAAGCCAGCATGCCGGTAAATAGGAACGTCCAACTTGGTTTTCGATTTTCAAGACTAAATATTCTATATTCTTGATTTCTCGCTAGTCAAATGACGGAGAGCGAGGATAGCTCTCTAGACTGCATACAAGATAGAAAATTTATTGAAGAATACAAAAATATAAAAAACATTTTTTACTCAAATGACTCTCTAAATGATGATTTAGATAGTAGATTTTTAAAAAGCTCTTGAAGATGCTCTAAGGTCCTGTCTAACTAATAGCTCATAGCTAATATTAGCTAGCTAAGTATGAGCTGCTTGTTAGTTGACCTAGCTAGTAAAATAGTTGTTAGGTGGATAAATAATTAGGCCTCCTTTGGAATGGAGGAAAACAAAGAATTGATTCCTGTAGCAGCCTTTGGTTTGTAGGAATTACTAAAAGATTTTTTCTAAATATAACTTTCCTTTCCTTTAATTCCATAGAAAACTATAGAAAAACAATCTCATGGAAAAATTCCTATACACAAGGAACAAGACAAAACAATGGATTTACAGGAACAACTTGTGTGTCTAATAAAGGAGTGGAATGAAATAATTAGGTTGATTAAGAAATCAAGTTCTATTTACTCCTAAGCTTAGAGTTTCAACGTAAACATGGATTAAAAAAAGTAAAATCTAGATTCATAACATCACACATAGACTACAACAAGAGGCGATATAACCTAAGCTAAAGTCTCAACTAAGTAACATTGAAGGCACACGGAAGTGAAAGGTGAGATGCAAAGAGGAAAAATTATGAATACAAATAAAAAAAGTAGAGCAATTGATAAATAAATTGACCACAATGGTCAACTATGAAGATCACATATCATCTACATTTTTTAGAGCGAGTTTTTCATAAGAGATGTAAGATGTAAGACTCCAACACTCCTATGAACCAAATTATCTTGTTTAAGGACACCGATACCCATATTGAGCCAAAAAGGACTCCGACACCCATATGTTTCCAAAATACTAATGCGAAACATTTTTTTTAATTATTTTTAATCAATATTTTAATAATAACCGCCCAAAAAATATTTTTCAGATCTAACCTTCAATGGCGCTGACTAAACAATGATGTCGTACAACGATGTGGCGCAACAACATCTACCATGTTGGATGGCGCTTTCGACGTAGAAAAGCTTTGTCGCGCCACTCCCGATGGCGAGACAAGATTTGTCTTGTCACGCAACCGGAGTGGCATGACAAGAGAATTTTCGAAAAATCATAACTTTTCATACGACGTTGGATGAAGATGATTTTTATATGAAAATTATAGATCTCGACGAGATCTATAACTCCTCTAGTTTTGAGTTTTTTTCGTTTGAGGATATTAAGATGTTCAAAAAAATAATATAAAATTTCAGCACCATAATAATCGCTACATCATTGTCACGCATTTAAAAATAATATCTTTTTTGTATAGTGTCAAATGAAGATATATTTTATATCAAAGTTGTAGCCCTTAAGGAGATCTATAAGTTTATAGTTTTGAGTTATTATATTTGAGGTCGTTAACATACTCTAATAACTAATATAATGTTTTAGCTGCATATTAATCGTATCAAAACTTATCTTTTTCTCGAAAATCGTATATTTCTTATTTAATGTCACATAAAACTACTTTTTAAAAAAAGTTGTAGATCTTATTGAAGCTCCAATATTGATATAAAAAGTACCTTCATTTGACATGATACAAAAAACGATATTATTTTTTCTAATGGCGAAACGCTTAGTACACGATTATTATGCTAATGAAATTTTATATTATTTTTTGAGTATCTTAAAGACTCAAAATATTAAAACTCAAAACTACAAAGTTGTAGATCCTCATTGAAAGCTACAACTTTTATGTAAAAAATATCTTCATTTAATAACATACATAAACTATATTATTTTTCTAATGCGATAAGTACTTGTACGCTGCTATTATGTTTTGAAATTTTATATTATTTTTTAGCATCTTAACTACTCCAAATGTTAAAACTCAAAACTACAAAGTTGCAGTATCTCATTGAAAGCGCTACAACTTTCATAAAAAAATATCTTCATTTGACAACATACATAAACGATATTATTTTTCTAATACGGCAAGTACTTAGTACACGTTATTATGCTCTCGAAATTTTATATTATTTTTTTGAGGATCTTAACGTTCTCAAATGAAAAACTCAAAACTACAAAGTCGTAGATCTCATCGAGAAATACAATTTTCATAAATCTCTCATCTTCATCCGATGTCGTATCAAAAGAGTTATGATTTTTCAAAGATTTGGTCTTGTCACGCCACTCCCGATGGCACAATGAACAATACTCACACGCCAAGGAGTGGCGTGACAACGCTTTACGCCCTGAAACGCCGCTCTAACGGGAGGGATGTTGCCGCACCATTGCATGTGACGTGACAACGGCGCCACCAAAATTGTTAGATCCGCAAAAAAAAAAATAGGAAGCGATTATTATTAAAATATTGAATAAAAAGAATAAAAATAAAAAATCCCGTGGGGTGACGAATGCCTCGAGCAAGACTGCTTCTCCACGCATAGGCCATGCTCATCTCCTCTAGATCCACGATGCCGCTGTTCCGTCCCCCCATTTCAATGCCTTCGCTTCAAGCTTCTGTAAAGACGGGTAGATCGGTAATCTGTAATTATGCATGCTTGCTACCGGGTTTATCTTTAATCTTCCTCCGGCATTTCATCAGTTGCAATCTTGCATATCGGTGTGCACATGAGATGCAATCTTGTAAAACCACGTGGAGGCCTCCGATTGGGAGCCTCACACTGAACGTTGTGCTTGTGCCAGCTGCATAAGGGTGGGCCAGTGGCAGAGGCGCCACGAGACAGCACTGTCCGATCGATGCAGCCACCAGCCATGCAGCACCGCAGCAGCCACCCATATTGATATTGGTTGACGAGAACAGGACAACCTGTTGACCGAACACTGCGTCACTGAACCCCCACACGCGCCACCGTCCATCACGAGCTTCCA